ACTGCAAACAAGAAGAGGGGAGAACGCGGAAACGCGTTTAAAGTTGTGAACCATCGTGGACAGCTCGGCCACCTACAGTCCGAGCTTGTGGATCCTCTTCGGCCACTACATGCACATATTTCTGTCTTAGTGAATTATTATTTTTTATTAAAACTGTAACAAACAATCCGTACAATTTGTAATTTGTACTACGTACAAAGTTGTGTTTTTATGCGTCGATTCCGGTTCCGTCAATCTGCAACCAATCGATACCAATCGATACCAATTTATCTATCGATTGGTATTGATAATCGATACCAATCGATAACCACACGAATCTTCGCCATCGATTGGTCATCGATTATCAATATCGATCGATTAATTGATATCGATTGGCATCGATTGATATCGATTGTCATCGATTATCGATTCCATCGATTGAATACCCCGGGACTCGTGGACTGTTGGTGCTCCTCGTGTCCAAAGCCTCTCGGCCATGCTCACAAAGTGATTGGAGCACGGATCAGGAATTAGTAGCTGATATCCATTCAAGCCAGAGACAGCTTGCTGATATAACAGAGACTATACACACAGGTAGCGGTGACCCAATGACAAGTGCCTTGGCCCCTGTGTTGAGTGAACTGAGTTTGAGAACAAGCTAGGGTATAACCACGTGTTGTGTTTACTGGATAAATCACTTTATTATTTTGCTACTGCAAGTGGGCAAGATGAACCAAATCCTGCATTGTGATTGGCTACTTGAGTGGGCAAGATGGGAAGCCGCACGATGGCTCTCGAAGATTAAAGCACAATCATAAGCAATTATTGTCCTGTACATGACATCTTTATATGGTGACAGCGGTGGGATAGCTGGAACAACGAGAAGCGAACCCACAACCACACAATTAACCATGGCCACTGGATTTACGTTACCGCCACCTCCTCCGCTCGAGATTCATGATGGTAATGAAGCAGAGAAATGGAAACAGTTTCGTCTTGCCTGTAGCAACTATGCACTTGCAACAGAGCGAACCAAAAATTCCGAGCCAATACAGGTGGCTATACTGCTGACAGTCATTGGAGAGGACGCGAGAAATGATTACTCTACCTTCGACTGGGAAGATGAAGCAAACAAGAATAAAATTGAGCCAGTGTCGCAACATTTCGCCGATTATTATCAACCCCGCAAAAACATCACTTTCGAACGTTATCGCTTTCATAAGCAGTCTCAGGAAGCAGGCGAGAGCTATGACCAGTATAAAACGGCACTTAGAAAACTCGCCGAAGGCTGCGAGTCCGACATTATCACACCCGAGGAGATGTTGTGTGACTGTTTAATATTCGGCATCCGTGATGTTAAAGCACGGGAAAGATTGCTACGGGAATCTCGTTACAGGTATCTTGTCTGCGATTGCCGGTAAATACTAGCAGTTGCTCACCACTAATTGAGGACACTACCTACTATTAAAAGGGTGATAAAAAGCGAATCTATAGTACAAATTGAATAATGGGGACCTCTGACCTAAACGTCCAGTTGACTTTCATAGTATAGGGAGCTTGAAGCAAACCACGACGGCAACGGGAACGTCAATAACAAAAGTTTCAATGAGCAGCACAGTGGCTATGCATTTCAACGTAAAATGACCAAATTTTTCGCAGTTTGGAGAAGGTGAGCCACGACTGCTAATTTTCGTATTTCCGTTTGGAATTTATCCCTGGCATGACATATTTAGTTTTAGCAGGTTTTTAGACCGATCGGCCTAGTTAATTAGGAAATCAAGTTAAATTGTAGAATGAAACATCGAGAGAGAACTGAAACTAACAATGATAACCATCGCTTTTATTCAAGTCACTGCAGTTATACCATGTAAAATATAAATTGGAATGTCCCTTGCACTTCCCTGGTAAAACGTAATCCCGCAATAGTCGAAAGGCCACAAGTCGTTTATTTTTCTTTGATCAGCCTGAACCCACTGAATTATCTTGTGAAAGGAATATAACCCGCTCGCCCAACCGTCGTCTGCAAGTCCTCGTTCTCTGGCTCTGCAAGGAAAAAGGTCGAAACCTAGATAGGTCAATTGGATATGCGCTGTCGCTTGATAAGAACAAATTGGTTTTTTCTTTGTTTCTGTTTAACGGAAACGGCTTGGGATTGGTTACACTTCTGAACATACCATACCTACAAGCTTGTTGGTACGCCGTTTACTGAGGTGATATTACCACAAGCCGTCTCTAGAATATCATAGATTCTGTATTTCATCTCTTCAAACTGTTCCACGTAGAACCAATTCTTCTCTCCTGCCATCTCGTTAAGATCCTCTTCACGTATGGATGGGCCAACACCGAATGCTAACACCTTAGCTTGTTTTCCTTCCTATAATTGATTTGCAAACCATTGTGAGACAGAGAAACATCTAAAATTTCAAGTTACGGAATTCATTCATATCGGGGTGGGGGAAGGGGTGCGTTGGCCTGATCTGAAGGAGATTGCTGCTTTCCTTATCTGGATGTCCGGGCTCAAACACTGGCTGGGGCCATTGTACTGAGTTATTAGACAAGACACTTTTAAAACCCTCTCAGATTCTCTTTCTTTCTCGGAACCGGGTTATTTTGGCTCCCTGACTGACAGCATCCCCAGGGGTAACCGGACGATTGAGACATTCCTATCTAGGGAAGAAACCGTGCTTAATGGCCTCAAGGCTGCAACTCAGTGAGCCAGCTGCTAGTTACTGTCTACCACAGAACACGTATATATACCCTTAATGGAGGGACGGTAATGTTAAATGGCAGAGAACCCTTCATCGTCCTTCCGTCCGTAACAACCACGACGATGTTGGCAGCATCCGCTCTTTCGCCATTCTCCCGCGTAAACACAATCTGGTCGGCAGCGACTAAGGCTCTATCTGTTGCAGTGCCCCAGGAAACCTTGTCAGGTATCTCTGAAATGAGACCGTGGGTTGCGTCTGGAGACTGACACTGAGGTGAGTCGAATTTGCATTGTACGATGGGCTTTCTAGAGAAGGTAATAACACTGAAGTGTGTGTCCGGCTCAAACTGGTGAATGAATTGGATCAGGAAGGTCTTCACACGGACAAAATTCTGAACACCAACGCTCTTAGACGAATCAACGATGAGGCACACGTCCAGTTTCTTATGTTCGCATGGTGATGGTACTGACAAAAAAAGACATAGCACATTTCATGTAATGTAACCTACCAGGAAAGCTTTGGAAGTTGGTGAGCACGGGTATTAAAGAAGAAATACTTAAGATTGAATGCTTTGCATATATTTTTAACAATTAGATTATGAAATCCAGAGGGAATAAACTAATGTTTTAGTATAAATCTATTAGTCGTTCAAAACTTTATCCAAATCCTCTTCACAGACACTTCGAAAACGCAGAAAAGAGGCCGTCATTTTGTTAAAACCGCAAACTGCAAAGCCACTCACTACCTACAACAGAATAGATAGTGAGTTGGGTAGCTAATCAGCGAACGGCATTCATGGATATGAAGCGAATAGATTTATACTAATTGACTAGTAATAGATCTCAGTAAAGCTGCCCCCATTTTTTCTTTTCTTTTGCTAATTGAAAACAATTGGACATTATTGTATGAGCTAAAACTTTCATTTATTTTTCTTTTTGTAAACTATATTCAAACGTTAAACTGGCGATCCCAAAGATATTTAAGTAGCATTTGAATAACGGTGTTAATATCGCGGACCGTTTAGCTAGAATTCTCGCTTCCAATTTCAAGGTTATTTAGAAAAATACTTTCTCAATGACTTACGATACCTTCTGAATTGTTTTTCCCCCAAAATGTATCTTCAGGATCTTTGAAATCATTTTAGATTTGTTCCATTTCGAAGCGGGCCATATTGGAGTGACTTAGCTCAACTTGCCAAAAAATTAACCGGGACCATCGTGCACGCCTAGGTTCACTTAGTCCAGATACTACCAATATTCCTATTACGTTTTAGAAGTTGGAAGTATCACAGAAAGACGCATTTGGGGAGTAGACCAAATGGAAACTAGATAATGTAAATGATATTCAACTTTCTTTTAACATGTCAAAGTACCTATTGGACATTCGGCCTCATTGCATGTCGCTGTTTCGTAATTGCTTCCCAGACTGGCACAATGTTTTCCTCCCTTTCTGGGCGGAGGTGAATTACAGATTCTGCTTCGCATTCTGACTCCTTCGCCACATGTGGCACTACACATGGACCACATACTCCACGCCGAGTAGCCACCATCCACCTCTATAAAAGGAAAAAAAAAAGATTTGCGAAACGGACAACATTGACGTTTAGGATGGATGTCACTTGAGTAACTAAAAATTTTGCGCATTTGCTTTGGAACTACGTTCCCAGAAGCAAAGCCAAAACCAATCGTGGTTTACTGGCAAATGTTTTCCTACACTTTGCATCGACTACATTTACATATGTTTGCTTCGAGTTTTGATTGGTTTCTTTGGATTGTCTGTGTCCTTTGTGATTGGCCAGAACGACTACTTTGGTTTTGGTTTTACGAGCCTCAATAACCCATGTCCGAGTTAACCTAAGCCTCTCTGTCAAAGCGAGGGCTAGTGCGCAACTATTCATATGGAAATGAGTTTAATTTGCATGTTAATGAAATCTCATGATTGACACCAAGACTCCCTTTGAGAAAGAGGCTTAAGGTAATTCGGAAATGGCCCATTTAAAACCGACCTATCAAACCAAGAGACGATGATCAAGCGGAACAATACCGTAACAATACCGCGAAGTAATCATTGTTCCATGTCGATCTCGCATAATATTTTTTTGGTTTTCGGTGTTGGTTGTGGCCTTTTGTTCCACTCACGAAGGGGCGAAGAGGATGAGCGAGTGAGTGTTTCGGTGTTGGTTCTTGTTGAGAAGATATGTTATTTTGCTTTTCTCTGTCCCCTCTCCCTTTTGATGGTGGCTCCAGCATGAGCCACTTTCAGTCACACCATTCAAGCCGACTGCGAGGTTAGGCTTCAATTTTGAGAAGGTAGAACCCCTCCCCATCCCCATCCACCCGTTGACGTGTCTGTCGAGTGAGGAGCGGTTGTGTAATGACCGTTGCGGTTTCGTTTTTATTTTGATTAGTTTGTTGTTGTTGTTGTTGTTGTTGTTTTTTTGTTTTTTTTCAGAAATTTGTACAATTTTTAGCAGTGTTAGACAGTCACGGACAACTACGCCACCAATCATGCATCTTTGTTTCCACCGGTGTTCTTTTCGTTCAAGCAAAGTTGCGAAGTGAACGCTAGCCACCAAATCAAAAAAATCTATAGTTTTAGATGATTCTGTGGTCATTTTAGTGGATAATTAGAAAGTGTCTGTTCCTTTGGCCACTACCTTGTTGAAAGTAATTTTTGCTGTTAACTAGAAACATTTTATTGTTATTTATAATATAGCTAGGACCCTGCGCGCGCTCTGATTGGTCAAAAACCTATGTTTTAACGGAGTATAAAGCATAGAAAAAGCGTGTTTTATTGTTTTTCGCGTATAAAATCTATATCATAAAGCAAATGAAGAAGCCTAAGCCGTGTATTACACTCCGGACATTTGAGACCACTCGAGAAATGTAGAAAACACTCGCCTGCTGCTGGTGTTTTTTACATTTCCCCCGTGTTCTCAAATGTCCGTCGTGATTTATCACCGTGTAATACACGGCTTGGGCTCCTTTGTTTGTTAAAGAAATAAGTGTAAAAAAATAAATTGAACAAGCACCCTCACTGCAAATGGTGGTAAAGCCACAGCAGTTCATTGAAGAGCTGAAGTCCTGAGTGACGACTTCAGACTTTCTTTTCTAATATAACCATATGATATTTCATTATATGTAGTCAGATCTGTGTTTGCGGGAATGTGTGCGGGTAAGATGAGCCAGATCCCGCGCTGTGATTGGCTACCCTAGTTCTATCTTCCCTGCTCGGGATTACGTGCTGTGTCCCGCAAGAAAAATTTCCCCAAAGATCAATTCTTCGGTGTGCTTTTCCCATATGATAAATCTTTTATTCACCAAGCTTGATCGGTCACGATGGCTGGATATTGGCCTCGTTCTTTTTTTGCAAGCCATGGACCTCTACTTCGTCTCGGCCATTATACCGTAATTCAGCTTGGCAATGAGGCTTAGAGGACACAAACAAAGGAAATTGAATGACCATGTTTATTGATTTATTTTGTTTATGTCTTCTTGGCCTCACTATCAAGCTGAATTTTAATACATCGAAAAAAGCCTATTGACCAATATCCAGCCATCTTGACCTCACGCTTGGTCAATAACCCATATGCAGTGACTGGCTGAGAGCAGACCAATTTATCGTTATTTAATTTTTAATTTGCTCAACAATGCAATGCTTAGTATAAATATTACTCGTATATAACAAGCGTTTTTAACTTACGGCAGACCACTTTTTTGATTTTCTTTGCCATTCTCGTGATCTGACGCGGCCTCGGAACCGGGATCACATTTTCACCAGCGATGTCGTGGAGCTGACTCACGTTTAGCTTATATGGTAATCCGTAACCAACAGCAACCATGTGCACCTTTCTCCCTTGCTAGAAAAGTACGATTAAAAAAAAAAAAAAAAAAAAAANTGAAAGTTAGTGTTGAATGTTAAGTTAAGTTCGTGAATGTGACGGCAATAAAAACGTAAAGTTCAATGTGACCTGTCATAAACGCGGGAAACATAGAGCGGTTTTCAGTTGAGTGTCTAAGAGAAAACTCATCTGCGTAGCTGGCGGGATTTCGAAGTGCTTTGGAAATTTCCTCACGGCCTCAATCCTTAACGTGCGTGACCCTGCAGCTGAAACATGTAGCACTTTCACGCGAAATTCCGCCATCTACGCAGGCTCCAAAGCAATTGGTCAATCACGAAAAAATAATATTGTTTTTTTTCCCCGGCCCAGGTTGAATATTCTTATTTTTCCGCCGATTTTAGGCTGAAAATATTCTGGTGAAGATTCTTAGTTTATAGGAATACAAATTGGACTATGCCGACACATGCAACGTCAGATTATCAGTTCTATTTATGACTTTGATGGTGTTAAAGTAATTTTGGAGCCAGACTCCAGGCAGTAAAGCCTGATATGACTCGTTGCAGAAATGTCAGAGATTTTGGTTGGTTTGCCGTTTAGGGAAGGGAGAAGTTTTATACAGCTTAATTAATTAAAAACATATAACTGTATCCATAGGATAAATCACTACCCAGTGGATAGCGTGGTTTGTTTTGTTAGCATTTATCCGTTAGATGGCTATTTATTCGGTGGATAGCATTACCCAGCCTAGGGCCTGCAAAATAGCTTCAAATTAAAATTGAAATGACAATAATAGCTCGTGACAAGGATAATTAAAGGGATGCCTAATGATGCGATTTAGTGCCCGGAGCGCTTATTTACTTTTGGTACCTCCACGGAGGGTGCCTACTTGAGACAAGGCGCTTACTTCTTTTTCGAGAAACATCCGAATGACCAAAACAATATTTGAAGAAGAGTTCATTCGTTTGTAGGCATTATGCTTTCACATGGACATAATAGTTGAGAAACTCAAACGAAGACCACTGTTTTTGTAGTGCAGCATTACGTATGTGAGCAATTAAGATGAACCTCCGTTGATACATACTCTGACGGCGCTGTAATATTTTAATATTAGAATAGGGGCGCTTACTGGAATACGAGCGCTTATTTAAAATAAAAAGCACATTTGAAGGGGGCGCTTATTCGAAAGGGGGCGCTTATTGGAAGGAGTGCGCTAAATCGAATCATTATGGCAACAGAAAAATTACAATTTTGAAATATATTGCTGGTGCCCATAATGAAAAATCAAATAAAATAAAAAATGGATTCACCCACGATAAGAGGTAGTCTCCGCCGAAAATTTTCCTGGGAGACAAGCGACAACCCACAATCGTAAATACGTCTGCGCTCGCAGGGTAAGGGTCGTCACGCAGTGGGGAGAAACGTTGCGTGATGACCCTGGCCTTGTAACGCCTGCGGAGGAGTGGAGGTGACGTAAAGAAAACTACAAAAGGGACTAAAATTCACTCACCATAAGCGGAGGTACTGTCTCCGTGAATGGTTTAATACGTCTCTTAGGCCAAGCTCTCCCGTCAGTGAAAGTCACGAGCACGTTTTGGTGGCTTTTCCTGTCGCCATTGCCTTTAGTAAACAATTCTTTATTAGCGGCTATCAGCCCTTTGTCCGTACGAGTTTGTAACTGAACGCCCGGGTGCAGAGATTTCACGAAGTTAATTATCCTTGTCTTAGATCTGGAGTTTCGACCGTTAAATGGGGCAAGAAGCTCTGCAGCCTCGTCGTAGGCGATGATACCCACGTTGGTCTTTCTTTTGGCAATTTTGAAACTTTTAAGGAATTTGGGCAGGAAATCTTTTAGAAGGCGTTCATGGTTAACAGGCCGAATACTCGACGAACGGTCGATCAAGATGCCCAGATCGAGACCCTGCTTGCATGGTGCTGGTTCTATTACAAAGGATAAAGAACAAAGGAAAGGGTCAATCGATAATAATAATAATAATAA